TTGGTTTAATTGCTGAGACTTTATAATGGTTTTAAATTTTTTTAATATTTTATAATTAACTTTGACATTTAAAAAATAAATAAAATCAATCTGCATTTAAGAAAGAAAGAGAGAGATGGAACTCCTACCTTTTGTGACAACATGGATGGAACTGGAGGATATTAAACTAAGTGAAATAAGCCAGTCGATGAAAGATAAATTCCATATGATCTCACCTATAAGTGGACTCTATTCAACAAAGTAAACTAATGAACAAAAGAAACCACAGGCATGGAAACATGGAGCAGACTGAAAGTGAAGAGAGGGGATGAAGAAAGAGGACAATGGTGGAATGAAGGGGAAGGGACTAGACAAAGAACATGTATGAATGACCCATGGACATGGACAACAGAGTGGGAATTGACTGTGGTGGTGAGGGGGAGTGGGGGGATGCGTGGAGGGCAGTAAAGGGGTAAAAATAAAGACAACTGTAATAGAATAAACATGATGTATAAATAAAAAAAGAAAAAAGAAAAAGATCAACAGTAACATAGTCATTGTAGAGGATTTTAACACCCCATTGTGAATAATGGATAGATCTTTCAGACAAAAAAATCAAGAAGCACATAATGGCATTAAAAGACACTCTATATCAAATGAACTTAATTGCCATTTACAGGACATTTCATCCAAAGAAGAAAAATATACATTCTTCTCAAATGGACCTGGATCATTTTCAATAATAGACCACATGGTAGGGCACAAAACAAGCCTTAACAAATTCAAGAAAATTGAAATCATATCAAGCATATTCTAGGATCACAGTAATTTTAAACTAAAACTAACCTCAAGGAAAAAACTCTAAAATATGCAAATACATGGAGACTGAATTACATATTATTAAATAATGATTGGGTAACAACGAGATCAAGGAAGAATTCAAAAAGTATCTGGAAACAAATGAAAATGAACACACAACCCAAAACTTATGGGACACAGCGAAAGCAGTCCTTAGGAGGATGTTCATAGCAATACAGGTCTACCTAAAGAAGGTATAAAATTCTGAAATAAACACCCTAACCCTACATCTAAGAGACCTAGAGAAACAACAACAAACAAAGCCCAGAGAGAGTAGAAGGAAGAGAATAATCAAGATCAGAGCAGAATTAAATGATACAGAGACTAAAAAAACAATTCAGAAGATCAGTGAATCTAGGATCTGGCTCTTTGAAAAGATAAACAAAATTGACAAAGCTTTAACCAGACCTACCAATAAAAAAAGAGAAAGACCTTACTAAACAAAACCAGAAATAAAACAGAAGTAACAACTGATACCACAGAAATACATAGGATTGTAAGGAATTATTATGAACAACTACATGTCAAGAAATTGGACAACCTGGGAGAAATGGATACATTTCTAGACACATAAAATCTTCAAAACTAAATCAGCAAGAAGCAGAAAACCTGAATAGACCAATAACAACTAGAGAAATTGAAGCAGTTATCAAAACACTCCTGGCACTCAAAAGTCCTAGACAAGATGTCTTCACAGGTGAACTTTTCCAAACATTCAAAAGAGAACTAACCCCTACGCTTTTCAACTATTCCAAAAAATTCAAGAGGGAAGATTCCCAAACTTTTTTACAAGGTCAATATTATTCTATTCCAAAACCAGATAAAGACACAAGAAAAAAAAGAAAACCACAGACCAATATCTCTGATGAACATAGATGCTAAAATCCTCAACAAAATATTAGCAAACTGGATCCAGCAATATATTAAAAAGATTATACATCATAATCAAGTGTGATTTATTCCAGGAACCCAAGGATGGTACAATATTTGCAAATCAATAAACATAATAAATCACATAAATAAAATAAAGCACAAAACACATGATCATATCAATAGATGCTGAAAAAGCATTTGATAAAATCCAACACCCATTTATAATAAAAACACTCAGCAAAATGAGCACAGAGGAAGCATACCTAAACGTACTAAAGACCATATATGAAAAACCTACTGTCAACATCATATTCAATGGGCAAAAACTAAAAGCATTTTCCTTAAGGTCAAGAAAAAGACCATGATGTCCACTTTCCCCACTCTATTCAACATGATACTGGAAGTTCTAGCCACAGTAATCAGAGAAGACATAAAAGGCATCTGAATTGGAAAGGAGGAAGTAAACCTGTCATTATTTGCAGATAACATGATAGTATACATAGAAAACCCTATAGACTCCACCAAAAAATTACTTAACGTAATAAGTGAATTTGGCAAAGTAGCAGGGTACAAAGTCAGAAATCAATGGCATTTTTTGTATACCAACAATGAACTATCAGAAAGAGAAACTAAGAAAAAATGCTATTTACTATAGCAACAACAACAAAGAAAGTACCCAAAAATAAATTTAACCAAGGTAGTAAAAGACCTGTACTCAGAAAACTATACAACACTGAAGAAAGAAACTGAGGAAGATACAAATAAATGGAGGCATATACTGCATTCATGGATTAGAAGAATTAACATCATTAAAATGTCCATTCTACCGAAAGGAATCTATAGATTAAACACAATTCCTTTTAAAATACCAATGGCATAATTAACAGATCTGAAACAAATATTTCAAAAAAAATGACATAGAAACAAAAAAGCCCCCAAATGGCCTCAGCAATCTTGAGAAAAAAAGAACAAAATTGGAGCGATCACAATACCTGATATCAAACTATACTACAAGGACACTATTATCAAAACAGTCTGGTACTAGCGTAAGACCAGATATATAGATCAATGGAACAGAATAGAGAGCCCAGAAATAAACCCATGTCTTTATGGTCAATTAATATTCAACAGAGAGTGCATGAGCAGATCATGGAGTAAAGATAGTCTCTTCAATAAATGGTGTTGGGATGACTAGACCGATACATGAAAAAAAGAAAAAGAAAAAGAAACTTGACCACCAACTCACACTGCACACCAGAATAAACTCAAAATGGATCAAAGATGTAAATATAAGTTGTGATTCCATAAAAAACTCTAGCAGAAAACATAGGCAGTAAAATTTCAGATACCTCATGTAGCAATATTGTTACTGATATGTCTCCTAGTGCAAAGGAAATAAAAGAAAAAATAAACAAGACTACATTGAATTAAAAAGACTACATTGAATTAAAAAGCTTCTGAAGAAATCACTATCAAAATGAAAAATGTGCCAACTCTATGGGAGAACATGTGTGCCAATGATATATCAGACAAGGGTTTAATCTTCAAAATATATAAAGAACTCATACAACTCCACACCAGGGAGACAACAAATCCAATTAAAAAATGGACAAAGGACCTAAACAGACACTTCTCTAAGAAGGAGATACAGATGGTCCATAGACATATGAAAAAATGCTCAACATCACTAGCTGTAGAGAAATGCAAATTATAACCACAACGAGATATTACCTCACACCTGTCAGAATGGCCATTTTTAATGAATCAACAAACAATCTGTCGGTGAGGATGTGGAGAACAGGAAACCCTTGTGCACTGTTGGTGGGAATACAGACTGGTGCAGCCACTATGGAAAACGGTATGGCATTTCCTCAAAAAAGTTAAAAATAAAGCTATCTTTTGACCCAGAGATTCCACTGCTGAGAATATACTCTAAAAATCCTGAAACACCAATTCAAAAAAAATATGCACCCCTATGTTCATAGCAACGCCATATACAATAACCAAGAGTTGGAAGCAGCCTAAATGCCCATCAGTAGATGAGTGGATTAAAAAACTGTGGTACATCTACACAGCAGAATACTACACAGCAAAAAGAAAGAAGGAATTCTATTTTTTGTGACAGCATGGGTGGAACTGGAGGGCTATTATGCTAAGTGAAATAAGCCAGTCAGTGAAAGACAAAATACTATATGAATCTAATGAACAAAATAAACTAATAAGCAAAATAGAACCAAAGTCATAGAATCATGGAATAGACTGACAGCGGTAAGAGGGGAGGGGAGAGGTGGGGACTGGTTGAAAAAAGGTAAAGGGGTTAGTCAAAGAAAACATATGAAGGACTCAAGGACATGGGCAATGGTGTGGGGATTGACTACAGAAGTGGAGGGTAGACTGGGTGAGGGGGATGAAGTGGGAAAAAATGGGACAAGTGTAACAGCATAAACAATAATAATAAAAAAGAAGGTCTGGTGATAAGAGCTAATAATACAAAGCACAATGGAGGGGGCATGGGAAAGGGAAAGAGGTGCTATTTAGATCACATAGGAACAAAGACTTGAACGGGTGAAGGAGTGAGTCATGCTAATTTTCCTGCAATTTGATTTTTTAAAATAGTTTAATTGGGGATTTTTTGGTATATGATAAAAGAGGCTCTGATTTTTTTTCTAATGCATATGCAATTATCTCAATATTGCCTTCCTTTTTCTTTATTTTCAGAAGCTTTGTTATGAGATTGAGTCTATTTCTCAGTTCACTAATATTTTTTAACATGTATTTTTCTGACAGGCAATTCTATTTTAATTACTATTTTTTGGATCAACCTTTTAGAAACATTCACCAGTTCCTGCTGATTCTTCTTCATTTAGCATTTCTAAACCATCCTTCCTAATGTGAAAATGAATTCCATCTTCCTGAAGGGTCAAACTATGTCTTAATTCTCTTTGTATCTGTTACATCTCCCACAGAGCAGAGCCAAAATAGACTTTTAATATATTTTTGTTAAATGATGAATAAGTGAATTTCAAAATCATTTAGATGTTTTTAACTCTCTTCAGGTCTGAAGGTGCCTCACTCTTTTAAACAGGTCACAAGTGGCAGAGAGTCACTTACCGGACCCACATCCGGACCACTGAAGGTCATTCAGTTTTAGAATAACCTTCAAGTGAATACTTCAGTCATTTACTAAAAACCCACTATAAACACAGCATCTTTGTTAAATAAGGGAAAGAACAAGGTCCCTTAAAATGGCATAGCTACTTTCATAAATAAGAATATCATTTGTATTTCAGTTATTTTATTTCCTTTATTTTACTTGGATAGGATTGAAAATCTTGATGGTCAGTCTTTAATGTAGTCAGACCACATGCTTTTCCAGTTCTATGTTTATACCATCTGTGCATCCACATTCCCCCCAAAACGAAGAAGACCAGTGAAAGGGGGATCAGCGCAATCCCCCAGGAGAACGTGGCAACTGTAAAAAGAACAGAGTCATATCAGGGGTCAAATATTCTCTCACCACCAAATAGGACAGTGTTGTGCAGGTTTAAAGGTAAGAAAGTCACTGGAGCTTGTTTTTCCTAATAAATGTGCATTGATTTTCAGAATGTGTCCCTGACCCCAAGATAAATGACATTTGAGAATGTTATTTGTGGCATTAGGGAAACAAGCAAAGTAGAACACTCCATCAGAGAGAAACAAGGTAGAGTGGAGGGCAGGTGTCAAGGATCTAACTTTGTTTCACCCACCAAATACTGAGTAGTTAGATGTCATCTGGTTAGGTCTCAACTAACCAACTGTGACATGGCCATGGTAAAATGTGCCTTTTTCCAATAAACATGGATGTCATGAGGTTTCACTAAAACTACAAAGGAAATGAAAACAAACTTTGGAAAATAAAATTTTAGGTATCAAGATTATTGCTTGGATCTAGCTGGTTTATATTCTACTCCTTGGCTTCTCTGTGTTATGAAAATATTGGAAGAGATTAAGAACAAAAAGTTAACAAGTAAACACTAGAACATGAGCGTCATTAGACACATTGATGATGAGGCTACAATTCTACATGTTGAAGCTACTGGTTATCATAGTCTTTCCAGGCATCCAGGAACCAACATAATCTCAGATTATTTTCTCCAGGTGATTCTTACACCCTAAAATCCAACAAGGCAGTAAATGAGTGATGCTTCCATTTTCTGAGCACCTGTCTGTTCTCTGCCCTCCATCACAGTGAGTCCAGCAACAGGAATAGGTTCATGTTACAGCAACATTTAAAGGTTCCCAGCATCAGGACCAGACAACCACAGGTTCCTTTGGATCACTAATCTAAACCCCAGCAATGGATTCAGCATTCTGTGGAATCCTCCATTTTGAAGTCTAAACTACCACCAACCCTCTCATGGAAATGTTCTGAAATATCAGCCTTTGTACATATGTCCAAGGACAATGGCACTCAGACTTTAATATAAAAGAGCCTGCCTGCTTACTTGTGATCTTTGGTCTTACCCCACGAGAACTTGACTGGATAGCTCAGGGGAGAGCCCAGGAACCTGTATTTTCAACAAGTGGCTCAAATGAAAAATGCTGCAGCACATACTTTTCTTTTTGGAGAAAAGTTGTGTCATGTCATTCTCTGCCCTGAGACTTACATAAATCCTCAGGTTTCCAATTAGAAATGTGCCTGTAGCTGCCTCCCCAGCAAACATGGAGGTGATGGAGCAATCTGTGTTTATCTGATTGTTGCAGACTTCTTAGAAGGCACAATGAGACTAAATCTGAGGATGATTTTGGCTTGTCCCTCATTTTCTGGGGCTGCCAACAGACGACATTACCTGTGTCTCCCTTTCCTTCTCAGTGCTTAAACTAAGAAGTCAATTGGTCAGAATGATAATATGTGTTTTTATTTTCTTCTTTTTAAAAATTCTTTCACTTTATTTCCTGTTAACTGATGACTTTAACTCCAAACCTGCCCTGAGCCCTGGATATCTCACAGTCCCCAGCTCTTGGAGGATTAAGTTTCTCAACTTCAGGATAAGGAATGTCCCATCCTTCTCACAGGGTCATAATAAACAGCTAGTCCTGCCAAGCCAGGAAGAACCACAAGAAAACACAGGGTTTCTCAGAGTTTATAGCAGAACCACTTTATCTCTTTTCCAAAAAATCAGCTTGCTCTTTAAATTTTTACCTAAATATAATCTCCCAAAGCCAATCTCTACCTTGCCCCCCCCTCCCCCCAAAAAACATAAAATATCAGAGATTTGTTCTCAGTGCTCTACTGACAGAAAACATGAGGGACTTGCTAGGTGATCATCAGGGGATTTGGTAGCCTTGTCTGGCATCCACAGAACACTCAACATGTTTTTTCCCTTCAAAGTCCCCAAAATACATACCTTCTTTGACTGCGGTATGTAGCATCTGAAAACTCAGTGTATTATGAACAACACACTTAAAATCTGTGGTCAAATCCTCTCTTATAACTGGATCAAAAATCAATAACACTTCAATGTAGTTCTTGTTATTTTCTGAGTACTCCCTGAGTGAGAAAATATTTACTTAAACATGGCATATAAATACAAGCTTGTCTTTACAATGTAGACATTCAAGCATCCTCAGTGAGGAGGATCCATGGTGCTTACATGCATTGATTTCAAGATTAAGAAAGTTAGGAGTACTTGCTATTATATTTGTTACTTATTTGGGAGAATTCTAAGCTTCTTTCTAAAGGTAGAAGTGACACTGATGTTGGTCACTGTTGTGGGACACTTGTTTTAAGAACTTACAGGAGCCAGTTTACTGTGAACAATAGGAAATTTCATTTTTTAAGGCCATTAATGAACAAAGAACCAGTAGTAGGAATGGAAATGTCTCCTTTTGGGAAACTAGACTGTATCGCCCACAACTCATCTGCTTATTGAAGGGTAGGAAGTTTCCAGGAATCTAGTTTTCAGCAGTGTTCCCTCCTTTCATCTCCACTGCCAACTCCCACCCTGGAAACTCAAGTTCAGAGCTGAAGGCTGCAGGTAGGCCAAGGAGAATGACTCTAGTCAACATAACCACAATTTGTAATGTTACAGGAATCTGAAGGTGCTTTACTATTTACTCAAGTGAATTAAAATGTTGTTTCTGTGGATCCACAAGGACTTTTTTTATCTAAGGGGGAAAGATAGGCTCCGTCAGTAAATGAATAGTATGAGTAAGCTGACATAAGAATGCTAGTTTCGCAATAAGGACTTGCAAGCAAACAATTGTGCTAACCAAGCGTAATTTTTATCCACTCAATTGCATCCAGAAAGACCCTTTTTGATAGGTCTTTCAAAAAAAGTCAAAAATTTGGCAAGCCAAAGTTCAGATTAATTGAGGGTATTGAAACTATAATTTAAATATCTGTACTTTATGATTTGGAACATTGAATGGTCTCCCTTCCTCACACATAAATGGTTCCTATTTACAAGTTCTGACTATGCTACGTTCAAAGTGAAAAGACATTTTCCAGATATGAATGCTTATGAGAACAGAATTCTTTCTTATTTTTTTAATATTAACCTTCCTTAGAGACTGCGGCAGCCCAGAGTTCCCTGAGGAACAGAAGGATCTGTCAGATACTGTGGCTAAGTTTCAGAATCTTTTTAGGGGTTTGTGAAAATGTTTGACACTCAGGTTGCAGAGCGGGGAATGGAAATATATTAACTTCTAAATATTTTTAATGGTAAAAATTGAGAAATAAGTATTTTATTAAGCAACTGGAAAATGCAACCCCAATGCCAAGTAGCTGACTGCAAGTCAACTCTTACATAGAAAGTTTGCTTCTCAAGAACAAATGGTAATTCTTAGCAAAATTTAGTTTTTAAAATTCTAAAAATCCAACAGTTTAGAATAAAAAATTATTTTGAATATGGTATGTGTGTCATATTGAGAGGTCAAATATTACATTGTCCCTTTTTTAAAAAAGAGTAAAGCCTATGGAGGTCTTATAATAGCTCTGCCCAGAATATGCATCTAAACTGACAAACACCTTCACCCACTTACAGACGCTGCCCCTCGGTGACACGGCCATCCTGGTAGGCATTGTCTATGCTGGTGTTGTTTGCCATCCACCACAGCATGGTGGTCGAGTGTGTGCCAGCCCCCAGAAACACCTTACATGGAATTGTCAGTCTTGACCCTGTGCACAACAAGACATAGCACATCAAATGTCAGAACCTAGCCAGACACAGAAGTTTGCCCAGTTCCTCATCCATCAGCAGACCGGAGCAATGGACCCTTACCCATCTCCTCAAACACTTCTTGCCATCCAATTCCTTTCTTGGAAGGAAACTTAGTTCCCTCAGAAAATTCCATTCACATAGATCATCAGTAATTACCAAGTGTCCCCAGTTCCTTCAACTGGTCTTCATGGCAGATAAAAATCCAGAGGCAAATGGCTTCCCCAAGGCCACTCAGCTTCTATAAGGCATTCTGAATTCAAGGGCTGCCTCCGTTCACAATTCACACTACTTGTCCCCCAAATAGAGATTAACATGTAGATTCTTTCTCTTTGCCTATTGCTGGTCTCATCCCTGGGAATGCTCCTTCCACTCTTTCCGAGATCATGTTCATTTAGAATTAACCCTTTAAAAGCCACTGTATTTTATAGGAATGATGCCTTCTGCAGTCGCACAATATAATATACTGGGTGCCTGTGACTCGGTCACTATAAGTTACATGTATTAAGTCACCAAAGGGAGAAGGGGAAGAAAATGAACAAATCCTCCCCACTTGTTTCTTCTTCATGGGTGCTGTGCCTCTTTATGCTGTGTCTTGTAGTACTTATCCCCACCTCAAGCTCAGAATGCCAGCCTTTCTCCCTGCTTCACCACCCTTGATGACCTGAACATTTTTCAGCCAAAAGCAGATTATTAAATCCTGCCTCATGTGACTCTGCCACACACATCAATGCCTTCCAAGTAAGGTGGAGTGAGGAAACTCAGCTCCATTTGGCTGGGAACACTGAGGAGTTCTTTATGGTCACCAGTTAAAATGTTAAATATAAGCCCTACACCAAACAGGAGAACTTGAGGGAGAGAGAGTAGGGGAGGATATGAGAGATGATGGGACTCTGCAGTCAGGGTTTAATGAATGAGCATAAACCTACAAAACCATTATACAAAGACACAAAAAGGTACCGGCTTCTCAGGCACACAGGCCCAAGTCCAAAACCCAGCCTAACCCAAATGTAGCTTTTGACCTTTCTTATATCACTGGACAACTTTTCCTTCTGGAGAATGGTCTGTAATAAAAGGATAGAAATAAAACCTTTCTACAGCACTGGTGCTGGGAATGATGGCACCACACTAAACACATTATTGTTCAGTAAGGAGGTGTGTGCTGGCTCAGATAGCTTGCACCAAAACGAATTGAAAAAAAGGAAAACTCTTTCAGTACACCCCACCAGCTGACTGCCAACTTTGGCAACAGTAAACAGTCTCTGAGGGGCTAGCTGTGGCTGGGTCAGCCTCATTTTACAAATGGAATCCTAAGGAAATGCTGAGTATCAGCCATGTTTCAGTAAAGTGAATTATTTTAAATATACTGCACGTACTGACTCTGTCAGGGAATCATGCCATTCATCCTTTCCCACCATTAATAATTGCTACCAAAATGTTCAGATTTTGTACATTCAGATTTCTGTAAGTAGGGTTTTCATGGAGCCAATATACCTGTTACAAATAATGTCATTTCTAATAACATTTGACACAGAGAAATGTTCTCTCACATTTGTCATTTCAGCCCCTCATCCTGGGGTTCTACGGTCTCTACCCAGGCACATGGCACACAAAGGGACAAATGCAGTCAGTAGACACAGGGGTCCCAGGGTGCCAGACTTTGACATTACAGACACCCCTGTGGGTTGCACATCCTTGCAGGTCTTACCCAAAGAAGTCAGTATGGTCTGGTGGGGGGAGATAATCACAGGAATTGTCTCCTCTTCTTTTTCTGAGATAAATATACAGGAAAGAGATTCAATTAGGAAAGACTTCCTTTCAAGCTGAGGTTCAGTTTCATTGTGCAGCTTATTACTAAGTTATTCTTGACAGTATGGCTAGCCATTGTGGGATTCGATCTTTATCTGGCAACAGGCTCTCCACAAAATTGAGCATCCTTGGTCAATGCCTTTCCCAGAAGAGAAATTACTGGAAGAATCTCTGTCTTACAAACACATTCTGCTAATAGATGTTCTTCATTCTATGATAAACAATTAAACATTCCCTTCCCTGTCTTCCTGAATGAATTCTTAAAAGTAACATTCATAATGTCCACAGTATAGATTTTACCCAATGGTCAACTTGCCCTAAAATATCTTCCTCCATTCCATCCTCACCTCCCCAAGCACCTGCCACAAAACACTGAAGAGTCACCTCAAAATACAGAGGCACATGGGCTTGAGGACCACATGTTTGTAATGCTAATCCCCTGCTGAGTGACAGAGTGGCTCAGGTTGACTAATGAGACTTATTAATTGAGGATATAATTCTTTAGGGAGGGGAGGCAAAGGTATAACTCCTAGGAATAAACACCCAGCTCCCCAAGAGGCAGGTGTCCTAGCAGTTTAAAGAAACTAGGCACCTGAATTGGAGCTAGAAGAATAGTTTGGGCATAAAGAAAGGGCTGCCTATTTCCACATCCACTTGCTCCATCTACATTTCATCCACAAAGATCATTTTGAAACCCTAACATGAGTAAACATTAGGCAGCATTACAATAGAGCTCAAAGTGCATTTGGCTTCCCAACTGTCACCAGGAGCCTTTCTATCCCCTCACAGTCACATAGCTGTAACTCATAGCCTGGGGCGACAGAGAGGAGAGACAGGGACTCTCCTTCAGGGACTTGACACACCAACAGGTCATAGCCCTGGACGGCAGCGCCGGAACGAGGTGGGGGAGCGGTGCGTGCGGGGGTTGCTTTGCTCCCCTGTCCCTGTTTCTAGTTCAGTAGATCTGGGACGGGGCTTAAGATCTTGTATGTCTAACCAGTACCCAAGTGATGAGGCAGCTGCCCTCCCTTCCAGAACTGCTGAGATAATGTGATCACAATTCAAGATAATATGTTGGTTGACTGCCCCCTAGAGTTCTTGTGAAGTATCACATGAACAAGATAAGGCCCCGTCAAAGTCATAGGAGACTCAGTGTTCCCCTGTGGGGGAAGAGTTGAGATTAATATATGCTCACAAGACAGTAAAAGAAATGTAGTCTAGTGATTTAATTTCATGGGAGACATGATTTTCCCTGTCGCAAACTGAATCTCTGGATTCTGTGAGAAAAAAAGTTAGTTTTTTTCTCTCATAGACCATTTAATCTTACTATATTTCCAATGCTCTCTGAAATGCCCTTAAAAGACTCCAGTTGTGTAGTTCTTCAGTATATATAAAATAAATAAAAGTAGTCTATTCTCCAGGGCAGGGCTCAGGATTTAAGCACTTTTTTGATCTTTGCCACCAAGCTTGATATCCAACATGCAGGAAGTATGTTGAACAAACATTAAGAACTAATCAATACTGTTCACAACATTATTTTCATATGGAGCTCATTTAAACCAATTAAGAGCACTCACTATTTGAAATCCTGCTTTTCAGGGCAATTGGACAGGCCTTGGGGAAATCAACAGGGGACAATTTCCACTAGATATGCCACTCTGCATAGCCTTCTAACTGAAAAATCCAATAAAAACCTAGTACCCTAGAATTATATGTAAAGTTATGGCAACCATGTTCTGATGTTTGGCCCTGGAGGTGAAGGCCTTCCAAAAGGATCTTCCAACTGCATCGCTGTTTGACCCCCTCTAGTGGTATGTTTTAGCCTCAAACTTGGCATCCAGAGATTTACCTTTCTTCAAAATGACACCATGCTTTCTACATTTCAAAGTGTCACACACATGTCTTATTAGCCTGATGTCTTAAAAGGGTTGACGTATTTGTTTTCCTTTCATACCAAAGACATTCAAGGAATTCTATGTGAGCCTTAACTTGTTCTTTGCACACTTGTTATTGAAACAGTGTGGAGAGGTACCTTGATGGAAAACACTTACTGTTGATACGTAGTTTGATGTTCCTAGTGATGTTGTATCGCATGCCCTGGTGGGCAAATATCATGACACAGCTGTAATAGCCCGCATCCTCCACAGACACATTGTGTATGAGTAAGCGAGTCATTCCCTTCACACTCAAAAACTTCTTGTTGTCTGGATCCAAAAGGACAGAATCCTTAGGGAAAATGTTTTTCAAAGTTACACTATATGCTAATTTTTATCTCAAAAGTTATGAATAGGATCAGTATTACCAATCAATGTTGAATTTGCAACCCAAGAATTGTCCTGTTATTTACTTTGCAAATGTTATACTTTGGACATACTTTTAACTGTTTTTAGGAGAGAGAATTTGTTAACATATAAAACAAAGTTGCTGGATTTGTTTAACCACAATGCTTAAAGCAGGTTTGCTTAAGCACAATGGGGGGACATAAGAAACTCTTCTTTGACAATGTAGACCATTTAAAATACAAATATATTAATGGCCTAATAGCTGCCTATAGACCTCAGGAGACCCCCAGGGAAGAGTACAATTATATAATCATGGTGACTTGGAAAAACAATGTTCAGAAGTGATAATGTTGCTGTAATTACTTTAAAAATCATTTGAATTTTAGGAGTTGATAGAGATGTAGAAAAAATTCTAGAAAAAAACCTAAATGTGAGAAACAAGTTCACATTTTTCCTATGGACAAAAGATAGTGTGAGTTCTGCCAAATTAGAACCCTCAAGAGCAAGGTCTCCAATAACACAGAAAAAGCTGAAAGAGATTTTAAAGACATCCTAATGAGAACAAATTGTTCTTAGGAACAACTCTTTCAAAGCCAAGGTGCTGAAAAGCTTGCAATAGTCAAATGTAACCTGAAGTATTTCAGATTCTTACTCTGAATGGAAACACAAACATAACTGGAAGAGTTCGTTCACCACATGGCTCATAAAATATTACTTTTCAATATATTTAATTAAAAGGAGAAATTTTAATGTTCCTAAAATGAGTGGCCAATTATGAAAAAAGCCAAATAGGGCTCAGGACCACAGTTCTGCCAAGACCCTGAGCCACCTGGGATGCCCTGCTTGGCAGTGGTGTGTGGAGCCCCTTGCAGTAGAATTTTGGCTTCACCATCTATCTGCTGTATGACTTGGGCAAGTTCCTTACATTTGTGTATCTCTGTTTCTTAATCTGTAAAATACAGGTATTAATAGTGTTTGCTTCACTGAGTATATATATGAGCGAGTTTAGGACAGAGCAAGCTCAGTAATGATTAGCATTCTTAGGAAGGGAACAAATATTACTAAGTACCACCATGATATCCTGTCCACCTATATTTATTAAGTTCCATTTATATGTCAAACCTTACACTAAGTGCTTCATGCACAGTACTTCCATTTAATGTTTCTAATAATCTCAGGCAGTAGGAATGACTAATTGTGACTTTGCAGAGGAAGCAGTTTCAAAAGGTGAAATAACTTGGCCAAGACCACACAATTGCTAAATGAAAAAAGAGGGTTTTAAACCCACACTGGTCAATTCCAGTGCCTGTGCTCCTTTCTCTACAGGTAGAACCTCTTACTTGTCCTATTTATACTTTTCCTAAACTAAAAAAGAATTCATTGCTTAATTGGACTGGCTATTTCATAGGGGCTGGCCACTTTCTTCTACTTTAAAAAAGTCATTTAAAAGTTTCCAACATTCACTGATATCCTTCATATATCTTGAAGTCATAAGACCAGTCAACTGGTTAAACATACTTTTTTTTTCTGAAAGGGCACATTTTGATAATTATGAAAAATTATAGATAATGTTGATTGAGATAATACTAGAAAATTAAGTTTATATAGATTGAGTATAGATTAAAGAATAATGCATCTATTTTTTAAATGAAAAAAGTTCCTCACTTCTTTTTCTTTTACACTATGGAAATACCTTTAATGCTTTTGCTGATTAACAAAGTAGTACAATGTGAAAAAAATATGTAATACTGACATAAAAAAGAGAGTGAATCATTTATCCTCAAAACATCTTTAATTATTTCAGTGCATATTCCTCTAGATTTTTAAATATATTAAACTGTATTTTTACATAACTAAGAAATACAGCATATGCCCTTTAAAGCCTTTTAACTATAACAATATTGTCTCTTTCTTCTATGTTAATACATAGAAAATAATCTCTTCTTTGTAAATACTGTAGCTATATGATATTCCACTGTTCCCATGAGAATAAGTTAGTTTAATTCCTAATACTGAACATTTTTTTTAAATCCTCACTGAGGATATGCTTATTGATTTTAGAGGGAGAAAGGGAGAGAGATAGAAAAAGAAAGAAAAGGAGAGAGAAACATCTACAGTTGCCTCCTGTATGTGCCCCACCTAGGAATCAAACTCGCAGCCTTTAGGTATAGGGAAAAATGCTCCAACAAACTGAGCCACCACCCAGGGCAAACATTTTCTTGTTTCTAGTATCTTATTATAAACAATGCTTCAGTAACTATGTTAGTATATAATGTTATATATACTTGTTTCATTATTTCCATATATGTTTTTTTAAATGGACCTAATTCTTGGTTAAAGGGTTAATTGCTATCAATGATTAAACAAATAAATGTACTTTCCAATATCTGTCTATGGTCTCTATCAGCTAACTTTTTTCTGTGAAGGGCCAGGTAGTAAGTATTTTAGGCCTACAAAGCCACATGGCCAAGCTACTTAACTCTGCCATTGCATTGTGAAAGCATGAAAACAAACGAGTGTGGTCATGTTCCAGTAAAACTTTATTTATGAACATTGAAATTTGAGCTTTATGTCATTTCACGTGTCATAAAGTAGTGTTCCTATTGTAACTATTTTTAACCATTTAAAAAAAGTGAAAACTAGCCTTTGCTTGCAGAAACAGATGGTGGCTCAGTTTGGCCCTGGGCTGTGTTTTGCCCATATCTTATCTACATACATGATCTGATGACAGTATTTATTCATCCAGGCAAAAGAAGATTTGTGTTTATATTTCCTCCTTTAACCCAAAGGTAATATGTGTATAAAGTTGTTAAATAAACCGGCAATTGTTTTCTAAATTTTAATAGGCAAATAGAGTAAAAAGCTATCTACTTCAGCTGTTATTTACTCTGGATTCATTTCATATTCTCAAATCACCATTCTAAGGATCCTCACCCAAGCTACAAAAGGATTAATAGAATATATTAATCATGCTTCCTTTTAATTAGTTTAAAAAAGAGAAATATAAAAGCAAATGTTATCTTCAAAATGGATATTTTATATCATTCTTATAGGCAGTAAAACACATTTTAACTAACTGCTAATTTTCAAATATGTACCTTGTACCAGTGAATCTTCATGTCAGTTTTGTTGTGGGTGAATTCACTCAGTTCAGGACAAACTAATGACCCAGATGTTGAGAAAGTTAGAATTTGCGGGTATGAGAGGACAGGCAGGGAAGCTTCTGTCTTCCCAAAAACCCTGAGCTCAATGGACATTTCATCACAGTAAGAGATGTTTCTGATGTAAAAGATAAAATAAAACTAATAAATGGCAAGGCAAATAAAAGTAAAATTAAATGAAATTAAAAATGTTTTCACAATCCCATTAAATTCTGCTTTCAGCATTTTCTTAATTAATATTGCAATACTTCTTTCCCTGATGTTGTTGAATGCTGAGGAGACAAAAGAAAGCACACATCATAAATGTTAAATAGAAATGGTGTTATAGTTTGCATTTTTCCCAAAGGACCCTTCACAAATCTCATTTCAATGCCATCAAGGGCCACTAGCAAATTCCCAAGGTCTAAACCCTTCCAGTTTCTGGGGCTCTTTGAGAAAATGCACCAACTCTTTGGTCCAGGGAACCATATCCAAATGAAGAAATTGTTCCTAAGTACTACTGTTTCCATAGAAATAAAATTCCCTTTACTTCCGTGGAAAATCATTTATTAACTAAAGTTTAATTTCAGAAAACTGCTGAGAAATTAGTATAAAATCTATAAAAGACTTTTGCAATTCTGTATCAGGGAAATTAACTTGATAAGTTTGTGTAGATTTAATTTTTTTTGGTTGGGCTAAATATAATCTCAAAATCATAATTCTACCAAGAAACTAGAAGTGGGGAAACAGTATAGGCAATGGGGGAAAGGACAAAGGATATTAATTAAAATTAATTTTAAGTAGAAAAACGTAAAAATATAATAATCTCACTAAGTTTCTAGCTACATAAGAAGCATAGAACATCAGTAGAGACAATGAAAAAGTGTGTTGCCAGGGGCGACGGAGGAGACTAGCACAGCAAAATGGAAAACAATCTATATCTGGAAAAGAAACAAAATTTGGAACTTCTGGCCAAGATGGAGGCATAAGGAGATATGCTTGGCCTCTTGGTGCAACCAAAAGAAGGATAACAACCAATTTAAAAACAATAAACAATAAAAACTGCCAGAAAATTGAACTATATGGAAGTTCAATAACCAAGGAGTTTAAAGAAGAAATATTCATCCAGACTGTTAAAATGGCAGAGACTGGCAGCAAGGGTGGGAAGGATGCAGAGCAAGGCAGCAGCTGGTGGACTAGGTGGGCGAGAGAGCAGCTGGCAGACTGGGTGGTCCCACATTTGCATGTAGATAAAAACTGGCAGGAACAATTGGTAAGCAAGCAATCCCAGCCAAAGACAGACCATGCAACTCAGGGTTCCTATGCTGGGGAAAATATAGACTCATAACCTCTGGCTGTAAAACACTGTGGGGGTTGTGGAAGTGGAAAAAACTGCCAGTCTCTCAGAAGAGTCCATTGGAGGGGCCCACAGGGTCCTAGAATGTACACAAGCACACCCACCTTGGAATAAGCACCAGGGCAGCACTTGGAAGGGTACCATTCACTTGTGGGAAGTAGGAGAAGTGACTGAAAACAAGGTGAGAGCTGAGAAAGCAGCATTGTTCCCTCTCTGACCCCTCCTCATATCCTGCAGCTGTAAAACCCTGTGGCAGTTGTGGAGCAGAATAAACTCCTGGTCACTCAGGAGAGTCCATTTGAGGGGTCCAGGGGGTCATAGAATGTACACAAGCCCACCCACCCAGGAAAGCACCTGGAAGGGTGCTAGTCGATTGCAGGAAACAGGGGAAGTGACTGCAAATGGAGTGAGAGCCAAGTCACTGGCATTGTTCCCCCTCTGACTTCTCCCCCACATACAGTGCCACAATGCAGTGAAGCAGGTTGCCCGACCCTAGCAAATACCAAAGGCTCCACCCCTTACAATGTAACAGGTGTGCCAAGACAAAAAAATATGGTCCAAATGAAAGAAAAGATCAAAACTCCAGAAAAAGAACTAAGCGACGAGGAGATAGACAACATATCAGATGCAAAGTTCAAAACACTAATAATCAGGATGCTCACAGAGATGATTGAGTATGGCCACAAAATAATAAAGAAAGAAGTGAAGGCTATACAAAGGGAAATAAATAAAAATCCACAGGGAACAAATAGTGAAGGGAAGGAAACAGGGACTCAAATCAATGATTTAGAGCAAAAGGAAGAAATAAACATTCAACTGGAACAGAATGAAAAAACAAGAATTCAAGAAAATGATAAGAGGCTTAGGAACCTCTGGGACAACTTTAAACCTTCTAAGATCTGAATCATAGGGGTACCAGAGGGAGAAGAGGAAGAGCAAAAAATTGAAAACTTATTTGAAAAAAAACAATTAAAGAAAACTTCCCCAATCTGATGAGAGAAATAGGCATACAAGTCCGGGAAAATCAGAGAATCCCAAACAAGTTGGACCCAAAGAGGGACAGACCAAGACACATCCTAATTAAAATGCCAAAGGTTAAAGATAAAGAGAGATCATATGGTATTTGTCTTTCGCCCCCTGGCTTATTTCGCTTAGCATGATGCTCTCCAGTTCCATCCATGCTGTCGCAAAGTTTAGTACTTCTTTTTTTCTTTCTGCTGCGTAGTATTCCATTGTGTATATGTACCATAATTTTTTGATCCAATCATCTACTGATGGGCATTTAGGTTGCTTCCAACACTTGGCTATTGTAAATTGTGCTGCTATGAACATTGGGGTGCATAGGTTCTTTTGTATTGGCGTTTTGGTGTTCTCAGGGTATAGTCCCAGCAGGGGAATCGCTGGATCAAAAGGCAGTTCCATTGAACCTAACCAACAATGCAAAGAAGCAAGGCAAATATGACCAGCAACACTGAAAGGAAAAGAAATCAACAGAGACAAGAGGGAAGGGGGGGGCAGGGAAAGGGAAGGGAAGGGGAAAGTCAAGGAACATATAGCAAGGACTCATGGACAAAACCAAAGGGGAAGAGCTGAGGGAGGGAAGGTGGGAGGGGGCAAGGGAAAGAGAGGGGGGAAGGCAGAGACAAATGTATTTAAAAAGTAAATAAATTAATTTAAAAAAAAAGAAAAAAAAATAAAGATAAAGAGAGAATCTTGAAAGTAGCAAAAGAAAAGAAGTTAGCTACAAAGGAATTCCCATAAGATTATCAACTGATTTCTCAAAAGAAACCTTGCAGGCAAGAAGGGACTGGAAAGAAGTATTCAAAGTCATGAAAGGCAAGGACCTACACCCAAGATTACTCAGTCAAGCAAAACTATCATTTAGAATGAAAGGGTAAATAAAGTGTTTCCCAGATAAGGTAAAAGTTAAAGGAATTCATCATCATCAAGCCCTTATTATATGAAATGTTAAAGGGACTTATCTAAGAAGAAGAAGAAGGTCAAAACTATGAACAATAAAATGATGACAAACTCACAACTATCAACAACTGAACTTAAAAAACAGTCTAAGCAAACAACTAGAACAGGAACAAAATCATAGAAATGGAGATCACATGGAGGGCTATCAGCAGGGCGTAGTGTAGGAGAGAATGGGGGTAAAGGTACAGAGGATAAGAAGTATAAATGGTAGGTACAAAATAGACATGGGAAGGTTAAGAATAGTATAGGAAATGGAGAAGCCAAACAACTTATATGTACAACCTATAGACAAGAACTAAGGGGGAGATTGCTGGAGGGAATGGCAGTACTGGGCAGAGGGGGAGAAAGGGGAGAGAAAATGGGACAACTTTAATAGCATAATCAATAAAATATGCTAAAAATTTTGAAAAATATATATGAAAAATATGTGATAAAAGCTTACTATCTTGAAGTAAAAATAATTCAAGTATATAAGCCAATATTATATTCATATCTATTTTAGAAATAGGAAAAAGAGATGAACAGACATTTTATGCACAAAAAAATACAAAAAGTTAACTATCACCTTGAAAAATGCAAGTTGGGAAGATATGAATGAGGACAAATCAAAAGAACATAATACATCAATGAATATTCTACCCACCAGCTCCTCCAGGTAAGGAGGTACCTGCCAGGCCTGTGCTGGTGCTCTGCATACATTATTTCATTTATTCTCCAACACTATGAGTTAATAATTATTATTATATCATTTTTAGATGAGGAATATTAAGTATACATAAATTAAGTAATTTCCTAAGGCTTTATAGATATTAAAACGTCAAACCAATGTTGGAAACCCAGATGGCCCTGAGAAAACCCTTAAATTAGGACACTATCTCCAGAAACCATTGATTGAGAGTTACAAACCTGTTCTTATTATTCATCTGATAATTCCCTTGAGCAAGGTACTCCATGAAAATAACCCAATAGAGAGACAGGTTGAGGAATAATTTGATCCCCATTCATATTCCCCACATAGTTTAGAATCCCCACAGCAAAAGGGCAGTAGTTCTTGGTATTGTTTACTACATGTATCCAGTTCTCCCCGTCTTGAGCACACAATGGGATTATATGTCCTGATCCCACTGTGGGAGGGCACAGTTACAAGACCCTAGTCACTGAGTCAGATGTGTATCTCTTCTACACCAAAGTTTTAATAGCCAGGAGAGACCCTTCAAAATATGTTTTCTTTGGTTACTATTGTAACCAACATTTGAGATTACAACCTCTCCTTCAGTCTGGGTCCCTGAGTGTTGGCCAAATCCTCCAGAGCTTGTTGCATCTGTGATAAATAAGCCTTTGTTGTTTAAAGCCACTGAGATTTGAAGGCTGTTTGACTCAGCAGCAGCGTCTTCCCTACCCTGATTGACAGAAGGGCATGTGCATTCTAGATCAGAAGATTATAAAAATCACAGGGACAGAGCAATTCATGCTCTCTAACTAGAAGAAAGTTTTAGAAATCAGCTAGGTAAACCCTCCTAATGCTCAGGAAGCTTGACCCAGATTCGGATTTCTACTGGCTCTCAATTCCAGATCTCTACTTTTCTAGAAGAATAGAAAATAAAATAAGGGTATTAGGTACAATTTTTTTAGTGAATTATAAAAATAGTCTCTAAGACAAACATGACTTAGCCCATGTCTTCCTGATTTTTGCATATTGTCACTTCAGTAATCAATAAATATTGCCTTTGGAGAAAGAAAGGGCATTTCTATGTATCTTTTGACCCCCTGCTATGGTGCTCCTATTACTAGATTCTTCACATGCTATGATTTCACAGAACCTTCTCAAAAAACCACTTTACAGAGGATAAAACTAAGGTCTATAATTGTCAATAATCAGACCAAGGTCCTACCAGATAGAAAATGAGAGTGTTCAGATTCACATCTATGTTAACCTGATGCCAAATTTTATTCTTGTTCTAATACACTTTTAAGTTTCCATAGTAGTGTTCCTTAAGGGAAAAAAATAGGATTTTTTGGACTAGAAAAGAAAGAAAAACTATACATTTATAGCTACTGTAAAAGCACACACCCATATCTCCCTGATATAGAGATAAGAGATTGCTTTTCTGCTTTCTAGTCAGGGTTCATTGACAGAATGTCACACACACACACACACACACACACACACACACACACCCCTTATCTAAGAATCTAGGACTGGTGATATTGTCTGAAATTCTCACATTCATCAGTAATTCCTTTGTACTAAGAATGTCACTTTCTTTGGTTCTCTTTCTAAATGTCAGCACTCATAGGTATGGCTTCTCCTTAAATCAAATGAGCTTATGAAATCTGGAGAAACTCTAAAGCTGCCTGGTAGGAGGACTGGTTATAACCTTGGGGAGGGATCTAGGCAACAGCTGAAGAGAGAAGACCAAGAGCCCTATTTCCCTAATCAGGCCAACAGTTGTCTCTGATCCTTTCAGAAGAACTAAGCCAGGAAATTTTCAAGATCTCCAACACTAGACCTACAACTTTCTCATTCACAGAGCAGCAAGCTAGACCAAAGCCACTCAATGGAAAATGGACAGTCTTTCCAAGAAAAGGTGTTAGGAAAACTGGATATCCACATGCAAAAGAATGAAGTTGAACCATTACCTTATGGCATATACAAAATTTATCTCAAAATGGATCAAAGACCCAAACAGAAGATCTAGCACTATAAAAATTCTTAGGAGAAAACATAGGGGAAAATCTTTATGACATGAGATATGGCAGTAATTTCTTGGATATGACATCAAAAGCACAGATATTCAAATAAAAAATAAGTTAAACTTCATCAAAATTAAAAACTTCTGTGCATTAAAGAACATTATCAACAGAGTAAAAAAGCAACCCATAGATTGGCAGAAAATATCTGCAAATCATATATCTGGTAAGAGTAATATCCAGAACATATAAAGAATTCCTATAATTTCAAAACATGTATAAGGGACCCATGGATAAAGCCAAAGAGGGTAGAAAGGGCAGGGGAAGTAGAGACACTTGATGGTGGGAAAATGGAGACAACTGTATTGAACAAAAAAAATAAAAAAATATATATATATTAATATTGGTGATTTCAAATAAACTATTAAAAATTTTTTAAAGTAAAAAAAAAACAACTAAATTAAAAATGAGCAAAAGGCTTGAACAGATATTTCTCCAAAGAAGATATGCAAATGACCCGTAAAGCACATGGAAAGATGCTCAATATAACTAGTCATTAGGAAAATGCAAATCAAAACCACAATGACATAACTCTTCATATTCATTAGGATGGCTATTATACCCACCCCATCCTACTCCCAGAAAAAAAACAAAACAGAAAATAATAAGTGTTTGTGAGGATGTGGAGATGTAACTTTGCACACTGCTAGTGGGATTTAAAACAGTGCAGCCACTGTGGAAAACACTATGGTCATTCCTCAAAAAAATTAACACAGAATTACCATATCAGCCACCAATTTCACAGATATATGTACACCCACATTCATTCCAACATTATTCACAACAGCTAAAAGGCAGAAGCAACATAAGTGTCCATTGACAGGTAAACAGATAATAATAATGTGGTCTATATGTACAATAGAATATTACTGTCTTAAAAAGGAATGAAATTCTGATACACTGTAAAACATGAATGAACCTTGAAAACATTATGCTAAGTGAAATAAGCCAATCACCAAAGGACAACTGCTGCATGGTTCCACTCATATGAGGTGCTGAGAGTAGTCAAACTCATAGAGACAGAAAGTAGAATGGTGGGTGCCAGGGGCTGAGGGAGAAGGAAATGAGAAGTTGTTATTGTTTAACCAGAACAAATTTTCAGTTTGGGAAGATGAAAAGAGTTCAGGAGCCACACTGTGGTTGAGGTAAGACAACAATATGAATGTACTCAACACAACTGAATTGTACAGTTTAAAGGATTAAAGTGGTAAAATTTTATGTTATGCATACGTTACCACAATTTTTTAAAAAAGCAACAGGACAATGGAGGAGCTTCTAGATCTGGGAGAATTTCGTAAGTGAGCTTGGTTCTATCAAATGTAGACTAGTTGGATTAACTTATTCCTAATGTCTCATCCAAGTCTTAAATTCTATTCCATGTTCTATATCTATTTCTCATGTTCAAGTGGGTTCATCAGTGAACAAAATAGACCAAGTCCCTGTCTTCCTGGAGTTTACATTCTGATGGGGTAGATAAACATTAACCATATATACATGTATGTGTGTGTCAGATGAATAAAAATAATGACAGGGTAAGGAGAGAGTGTGACAGGAGTGCTCTTTTGGATAAGGTGGCTAAAGTCTTTGGAGCATAGACTTAAGTGATGGGAGAGAGGAGCCATGAGGCCATCTGGGGAAAGGCTCTTGTATAGGAGGAATTGCAGGAACAGTGAAGGCGACATAAGACGGATTCTAACCTGTACACTGGATTTTAAAATGCAGGTTATCACTGAAAAACCATACAAGAGTCCATTCTTCAAGAGCCTCCACACCCACCCTCATTCCAGAGGGGCTTACCTGACAGTACAGATATAGGTGCCAGAGTCCTCCTGCATGGCTGGCAAAATCCAGAGAGCACCATCCTGGACCCAAACTCGTGTCTCTTCTTTCCCTGGGACCACCTTCACAGAATCATTTTTACGCCATGTCAGGTTGACGTGGGGGATGGCAGAAGCCCCCAACCAATACCACACCTGGGGGCACCTCAGGACCACAGGCTCCCCTTCTACCTTGAAGCTGGTTTTAAAATGCTTGCCACGGAATTGGCAGTTTTCTGGAACCACTGAAGGACAGAGAGGCTACAGTCAGGCTTTGTGTCCTAAACCTCCCTTTGATGGGCACATCCAAAGAAGCAGCATTCCCCTAACAAAGTGGTCCATGTCCTGGGTACCCCCATTAACCCCTCTTGTTCAAATGGTTTCAAAACTTCTAAATAGCAACTTTAAGGCTGCCATCAATTATAATTTACATTTTGTGGGAATAGTTAAACCAGGTTCACTTGGTGACCAAGAAAATAATAATTAAAATGTTTGTCCATATTTTTCACTTTCTGACTTATTATTAAAGTAGAACTTAGCTGAGTTCAGGGTTTGTCTTTTTTTTAAGAGCTTAATCCTGCAGGATTTCTGATTAAAATCCAAAGTCATCTTTTATCAAGGATGAAGCAAAATTCATTTGATTTACTCCTTTGGCAGGAATGGAGGATGCCAAGGGGAGCATGGGAGATGAGCCAGGGGAAGCAGCTGTCATTTACCAAAGCAAGACACCTTGCTTTTTTAAAAATTCTTTGATTTTTTATTTGCATTTCATTGCTTTCTTTTTGTATTGCATTTATTGAGGTAACATTGGTCAATAACATTATATAGACTTCAGGTATACAACATTATAATTTGATATTTGAATACTTGATTGCATGCTCGCCACCTGAAGGATAGTTTCCTTTATTACCATATATTACCATATTTGACCCTTTTACCCATCTTGCCCTCCCTCACATCCCTTTCTGTCTCATAATCACACCTTGTTTGTTTGTTTTTAATAACAACAAAACTTCCCTGGATAAAACACTTTCTTTCCCCAGAGAAGCTACATGCAAGCCCTTTCCAGGTGAAAGGATCACTTCTTACCCATGTGTCCCTCAGGCTGAATGGTGAAGGCAGAAACATCCATTATCAGCAGGTACAAGAAGAACATTATTTCTGATAGCTTCCAGAGAACACAGGAAGTGGAGCTCTTAAGTCCAGCACTCAGTAACCTAGAAAAGAAGACAGAGGGGTCCCCAGGAGGCACAGACATCCAAAGAGGGAACTTCTTGAAGATGCTGTCAGGGGCAGTTTCTGGAAAAGTCACGTAATAATAGAAACCTTTTTGCCTAGATTTTTTTTTAACAGAAAAACTCAAAATTTGGGGATCTGCGCCTCTACAGCTATGTTCACTGAACACACATAACATCAAATCCACAGAGCACTTAGAAATGGTCTTGGCCTGGGAGTTCCATACACTAAGTGTCTGTCTCTCCTGAAGTGTGACTTAGCACTCCCTGCCCCTCAGCCTGAGCCTCTCTTTCCTCAGCTGACTGTTTGAGTCCTCTCCTCTCTCAGGGCTCTGCTCAAACATTACTCTTGATTACATTTTCCAAGCCTTCCTGTGTTAAAATGGCACCACCCTTCTGCCCTAGTACTCCACATTTTCCTATCCTGTTCTATTGCTCTCTATGGTATTCATGATCAGCCATCTCCTATCTCTACAGGGTAAGGTCTGTCTGAAGAAGGATCATACTTTATTTTATCCATCCTTCTATTTTCTGAATGACTGAATGAGTGAATGAATCTCTACACGTCAAAAGGTCCTTATTTTACTTTCAGAGAACTTCTCTTAGAATCTTTAAAGGATTATTCTTTGTGGATTAGTCTTATTTTACATACAATTCTGACAAACACTTGAGGAATCTATATACTGCTAACTCTCTGCAGTAGAGCATGCCATGGGAAAAGCAACATGAGGTCCAAAAGTGAATAATGTACACAAGTCAATGTAGCATTCCTCCTCCACACAAACGTCCCCAAGATGATCAGATGCCTCTGTATCTTCCTGTAGTTACTCCCACACTATATTGCAATTGTCTGTTGTATCAGATAACCATTGCCACAACAACACTAACAAACCACCCCAAAACTGAATGGCTTAAAATAACAATCATTTATTCTTGCTCTCAAGTCTGTGGATCAGATGAAGGTTGTCTGACCTAGTTGAGGCTAGGTTAGGCTTGGCTCCAAGCTTCAGATGGCATCCAAGTCAGCTCCATGTGTCTCTCATCCTCCTTGGACCAATGTCTTTCTGGAAGATGGGCTTCTCATGTGATGGGAAAACACAGGCAATGTGAGCAAAATTACTCACAGTCTTGCTTAGAACTAGCTTGCTCTTGTCTGCCCACATTCCACTGGTCAAAGTAAGTCACAGGACAAAACCTGCTATCAGTAAGATGGAGAAATGCCCCCGCCTCTAGTGGGAGGAGCTGAAAAGTTGCTCCAAGAGGGAAAAGAAATGGGAGAGGTCATGCCATGTACCACACCTGTATCTCGTCTGGCTCCCCATGGGTGGGGACAGCCATTAGGACAGAGGAGGCCCAGTCTTATTCACAGCCTCCATGGCCTACACAAAGCATAGTCCTAGAAAATACCAGGGAATATTTATGACTGAGAGTCTACTAGAAATTTGAGAGTGATGAGTAAATCCAGAAAAAAAAAAATACTTACCACTACTCCTCCCCCATTTCCTTGAAGGAGTTTGGCTTGTTCTCTCTTCCTGGAACAGATTATCATTCTGACTGTCTCACAATAAACCCAAATGGTTCTTAACTGGACAGGACAGGGCTGTCAAAATGAGAAAACGATACTTGCACTCTAGGAACCCTCCCTCATCAATCAGGACCATCAGAAGGCACCATCTCAGAGTTGTAGTCTAAGCCTCCACTCAAGTGATGTGGAGTCAAAGGTGGGCAGTGAGATTTTTCCCTTCGCTGGACGTCTGCCCCAGGGCTCTCTCCCCTAAGCTCTTCTTACTACATAGTCCTATCCTTCATATGTTTCTGAAATGCAAATATTTCTATAACTTTACCTCTAACACTACCCTCCAGTTCATAAGGCCCCTCGGTTAGAAAAATGTCATATCAGCATTGACCAAGTTGCTTTGTCCCCAAGTATATTGGTCTCTGCCAGACTCACTAGCTCTCTGGTAAGTAGGAGTTACATACACCAGGTATAACTAATACTGCATATCCTAATAAATGAAAGAAGTCAAAGATGCTGATGTAGGGACTAGTGTAATAGTGGCAGCTATTGTGCTAAACACTGAGCATTTTTTCTCTTATTTTATGTTCATGATGTGAATATTATGCCAGCTTTGACAGTTGGTATAATAGAAGAGATTAAAGAGGTTAAGTATCTTGGACAATATTCTATAGCTAGTAAGCAGGGAGTGAAGTTTAAACCCAAGGTTATTGATTCCATAGCCCTTACTCTTCAAAACTATAGTCTCTGTGACAGATGCTGCTAGTTTCTTCCTCCAATATCTGTCTTCCCTGTTTCCCAAATAATAGAACTACCAGGCTCTTAACTGAATAAATCACTATTCCACACAAAGACTACATTTCCCACCCTTCCTTGCAACTAGGAGTGGCAACATGACAAAATTTGTGTCAATGAAATATAAGTAGAAATGTAATATCCTCCTGGGAAGTCTACTTAAAAGTCTCTGCTAGTCTTCGTTCCTGCTGGCTCCATATGAATATGAGGGCTGGATTACAGTCCCCACCTTGGACCACATGAGAGAAACATGGTTTTATGGAGCTGTGCCCCCTACACCCCAGGTTGCCTTTTTTTGTGTTCAAGTTTTCTGTCATGCACAGCCAAACCTAACCTCAATATGTTAACTTTGCAGAGTTTATGAAAAGGACCCCAGGGTAAAAAGCCCTGCCAGGTACTGTCAAGTGTTATGTTCTAACTTGTCCTGTTTTTGATGTTCAACAGTTTCTGACGATTGACTTTGAAAAGTCACTCCAACTCAAAGGCAGGAGGAGCTGTGTAGCCTCCCCTTGAATGAAAGCAACCCCTTCCCCCAAGACTCAGGTTCACGTTTAGACTCGGATTATGTGAGGGTTTGTGATGATGTTTTAAATTATTTTTACCCCAGAAAGTCAGGCTGCATTCATTCAGGGGCATTCACTAGCTGAAGCTTCACAGAGCTGTAGAACTGGAAGAATCTTAGAGATATCTAGTGCCACCACTTTCTTTTCCAGGTGATGCAAGAGAGTTGAACATTAACCCTCTTCTCAAAATCATATAGCTAGTCAGGGATAAAAACAGAGAGGTTTCAACAAGGACCCTATTTCAATAAAATAAAATTCTAAAATGTTGCCATCCTCAAGTAACAGTCACACTCCACCCCCTAACACCCATTCAGGCTCCCCACTGCCAAGAAGATTGGTTTCTTTCTGTGGACTTCGGCAAAATAGCTGCTTTACTGTGACCTTTCCAGGCAGTGGCTTCAGAAATTAATCCACAAACACATCATAGTGATTGTTTTCATTAATCAAAATCTTCGAGAAAGGCCAGAACCCAAATTGCCATAGTTTGGGAAACAGTTTTGTGTAGACCCAGAAGAAAAAAAATTGGTTTTGCAGAGGTTTGTAGCAAAACATTATTCTAGTGCCTTAGTTTCTTTAAATGTGTCTTTAAATTACAGGCAGTTCTACATTTCTACTTGAATCTGAGTTGACCTTTTACTGGAAGAAAGAAATTTTAAACGAAGTACGTTCCAAGTATTTGACTTAAAATTCTATCCTTATTTTTTCTTTTTTTGTCAAAAAAACATGTTTTGCCATGCTCAATGTAAGAAAACAGAGAAATAGGATTTTAAAACAAACAAACAAACAAGGCCAGGTATTTTTTTTTAAATGACAAAAATGTGTGAAGAGTTGAAGGAAGGAGAAAGAAATAGCGTGGAAAGGGCTGATGACACAACACTGAGCCATACAGGTGGAAATTCACCTAGAAAATCAAATGTTTCTTTATTTCTATCCTCACCTTGTTTCTGAAAACTTTTAGGCAACTGTGTCTAAAAACTCTGAGTCAGATGGTACAGTCATCCAAAAACAAGGTAACAGATCCTGAATATTCATTAAGAAACAGCTATCAGGCCTTAGGCAGATTACTTAGTCACCTCCAGCTTGTATAATCAATTTCTAAAAACCCAAAAATATTGTGTCAAGCATGTGGTATAAACCTTCTGAAGCACATGGGGAAAATAAATATTTACATCAAAATTAAGCTTGGAAAGTTTTTTTAAATGCTAAAGTAAAACAAAATAAAACCTATTTTGAACTAAATCTCTGGAAAACACAGAATGGAAGGAGTTTAGTGGTAAGAAAGAAGCTATAGAGAAATATATGACCAGGTTTGAGGCAGCTTTTGTTGAAAATGGTCCTTGCTCAAAGCAGAACCCTTAATAGGTTCTCTGTAAACTAATTTTGTTCTTTAGAAAAGATAGTAGCTAGTTCCTCTGCCCACCATCCCCCAGAATTAAGGGATTTCAGAGCAGTGGAGTAGGACTGTTTCTGGTTTGCATGACTGTGTCAGAATGACAGTATCTTGATTTCCTTGACTATGGTGGTGCCCAGGAGACAAAAGGCTTACTGGAGTCCATGGCACAGGAAGACCCATCTTTGGCAGAGTAGAACACTGGGCTGAATTTCAAAGGGAAAACCTCACGAGGTTAAGACTTGCTTCCACCAAGAGCTACACATTCTCTTTATATTTTACTTTCTGCCAACAAGTATCTTATCCCCCTAAAACCATCCCTGTCAAAATTTTTGAACCTGACCAACTTTTTCCCTAAAAATCATTGGCTAAGAGTTTCAGGAAAACAACTCATCTTCCCACTCATTTAAATCCTCTGTTCACATACTGCATTCCCATTAAGCCTGAGTCATTCAGAGCCCCTAGGAGGCTGGGCCATCAACCAAAGACACTTCCTTACTTTCCTCCCATATCAGGCCCACCCACAGGCAAACCCTCAACAAGACCACTCCATTAGCCCAGAACAGTTGTCATTCTCAAAGTGACTGAAGTGGAAGTCCTCAGCACCCACTATGCAGATCCAGCAAGTTTCAAATTCTCTCAGACTGACAATTGTGTAAGAGGGATCACCAC